TATATATATATATATATATATATATACTATATATATATATATAGTATATATATATACTATATATATATATATATATATATATATATATATATATATATATATATATAGAAAGTACCCCTCCGTTTGCATACCTGCCGTCATTATAGCACTGCGATTGGTAAGTCAACTGTTGCGCCGCTCTCCTTGGTCTAGGGGCAGATGAGACCCGAGGTACTGAGTCAACACTGGTGGTAGGTTCAGTGTTGTTCCGCCTTCGGTTTGCGGGACATATCCTCTTGTTTGACTTTAAACCGGACGCTAGTTCGTTAGAGTCCTTTTCAGAATCTGAGTACGATGGCAGTTAAAGGTGTGAAATTGATAGATTGCAAGTGTGAACAAGGCAAAGGAAATAGATAGACAGAAACTAAGTAAGATCGAAATCACTTCTGTTTCTTTCTTCATCAGATGCTTGCTTGACAGTACCCCGTCTCACAATCTGTGACAGATGGTAATTGGGGTCCAATAACATATTGGCGTATGTTTTCGGAACATACGTACGCACATAGTTCGTAAGCCGAGTGTGCTACTAGTATTGAACTATAATTATAAATCTGTGCTCATTATCATTACGTCCCTCAGTAAAACCACCATGTTTCCTTAGTAATAAATTATATATATATAGATATATATATACAAATATAGAATAGAAATATAGAAATATAGAAATATAGAAATATATATATTTATATATATATCAAATAGCGGAACCGAACAAGGCAGCCATCAAGCACAAAAACACCAACGCAAAGAACAGTCTGCGCAAGCACCCCCAATCTGCCAAAATATAAGTTTCTACAACCACAACGTTGAGAGCATCACAACTATGCCTCACAATAGACCGAAGCTTCCATGCATCATGACAGTAACTTATACTACATAGCACACTCGTTATCCAGTAGAGCACACACCTGCATATCGGAACGGCTTTAGGCAGACCATATTTTTTATCTCATAAGTCACTATAGTCGCAGCTATGAAAACATTAAGATAGGACCATACAGTGGAACGCGAAAACGGTTCTAGACATTTGTTCTCTTTAAGCCATTACATCCACAGTTATTAGAACATGAAGAAAGTACCACACAGTAGACTAGGCTATCCATGACCTACCTGGTAGTACCGCTTTCGTAGCACGCGCGGCCAACGAACTCGCCGAGGCATTGGCCAGTACACGCTTGCTTTTGAAGATTGTATTTTTCTCGTTTCGTATCTGAAATTTTGACATGTTGGGGCACAGTGAGTGTGTTGGCAGTTGTGATCCTGTAACGCTGGGAGCGTTGTATCTATGGTATAGCCTGGTAACTAGACGGAAGTAGATGATTTGTAAGAATACGTATATATCGTACAAGCGGCGCACCACTCAACGAGAAGTACGAGACTAAAGGGCTTAAAAGTGCAACAGTTGTAGACGGGTGAAACAATGACATAGATACACGAAGACACAGGCCTGCACCTAAATATGTTTGAAAATTATATACTTACTAATTGATCTCAGTAGTATACAGGGTAATTTATATTTGATATCCTTCAGGGCCTGGATGAGCATTCTACACTTAATCGAAAATTATCACTCCGCTCGAAAATCACCGTTATACTATAGACATTACATGTCACTACATACTAGCCTTAATCAGCCCATTTACGAGGCGAGAGACAGTAGTTGAACATACCGGTGCACAGATTAAATATATATACATATATATATGTATATATATATATGTATATGTATATATATATATATATATATATATACTTGCTTACATACATACATAAATACATGTATACATAGATACATAGGTACATAATATATATATATATATATATATATGTCGATATATATATATATATATATATATATATATATATATATATATATATATATGTGTGTGTGTGTGTGTGTGTGTGTGTATGTGTGTGCATATTCAAAACCGTAGACTTCTCACCAGAAAATATATGCGTAGGTTGAGAGTCCTGTACAAATTGTACATACATACATGATGCGACCGATGCGCCACAAGCGCCATAAAATAAAAGGCGAGTAATGTATGACTTGACTACCTTTTCATTTTCTGCCTTCCTCTCAGCAACAAACACCTCGTAAGGCCGTAGTAGTACTTCATACGCTTCTCGCAGCTGAAAGCCTAGAGATGTACAAACCATCCTGTCGAAGCCCATAGCCTCCCCTGATCGATGTGGAGGGATGGAAAACGGTATATGTATAGCCATATTGAACACAAAAAAAGGGATGCGCATATAGGAGCTCTAGATGACATATGCAGGATCAGGCTTACGTCGATCGCACCATTGAATGCTACTTGCATAGTACGTGAATAGCCATAATTGATAAAAATAAAGAGTACGCGAATAGAAGCTCGTGTTGGTATTAACTCGTGCTGGTATTAGTTGCGGTACAGTTCAACACGTACAATCCATCGCTCTAGTATGGGAGTCCGCACACCCTAACACGATAATCCTTCCAGAGTTCACTTAGCGCGCAAACACATAAGCTAAACCTATTCAGGTGTTTCCACAAAACATCACGAGCACGATACGTGACCGCGCTTTCTAATGTCCACTACGTAAATTGCACAATCATCATGGCCCATGCTTGTCAGATATAGATCTGCCCAATGAAAACATACCAATGTTTGACCACAGCCGCTTTTCGGTTACGTAATCTACACCTCCGAATTCTTGAATCAACCGGTGCAGCTCGTAAGGGTCTACTTCGCGCCTGAAATGTTTGTCAAATCCAGCAATATGAATCAATAGAGTTGTTTCAGCATAGGAAACCATACACTCTGGCCTTGTAATGCGATTTAGGTGCGTGGATATCAAACTCGTACTGTGTACTGGAAATTAGGACAAAAAGCCCCTAACAGCGACTGGGCGGGCATACACCCTATAGAGAGACTATGTGCTCCTGTAACCTAATTAGGTAGCACTCTAGTCCACGTTGTTTGGTTACAATAGATCAACCTAGACGGCCAACCCTTGCACGAGACCCCGTCAAGGATCACCGATAAAATATATAACTACATACCACAGAAAACAAGCCCTTGCCCCAAATAAACCCGTTCAGACTATGAATAAACAACGAGCCGCTTGCTGTGGGACTTTCTATCGCCCATATCAATTTGGGAAAACACCGCCTATACATGCTAGATGAAACACACTCACATAGTACACGTGTGCGTGACTATAGTATGACCTGTACGGACAGTGAATCAACACGACACTATGGCACCAAAGCAGTGATACCGTTGTATCCTCTTTTTCGCCATGGGTACTCCCCTGCCCGTATGAAATGACGATAGCATGTCGAAAAACTGTCGTCTCAGCCGGTTTTGGCCTTCCAACTGGTTCAGATCCTGTTTCCGAGTCTCAAAGACAAACTCATCCTTGTCCAGGGCAAAGGGTGGCTTCCAGCCGTCCGGTGGAACGATTCTGCAGATTCCATAGACTTCTGCCTCCGGGCGTATGGACTGGGTCAATGGTGGATTTACGACGGCATATGAGTGTTGAAATTGTGGGGCGATGGTTGTGCTGTTACCCATAAAGCTACCTACAAGCGACTGTACTGGGTCAACACCATATTAAAGACGGTATATGAGTGTTTAACATTCGGGATATGACTAGGGATTCCCATAAACTGTTAGCTGCAAGCCTATGGACTGGGCCAACAATAGATTAAAGACGGTATATGGCGGTATATGAGTGTTCAATATTGGGGTGTAGATTATGGGGTTACCATAAAATCGTATGAGGTGAGTCAGCAATAAAAAAAGGTGGTATATGATTGTTTAAGATTGGGGCGTAGATTATGGGATTACCATAAAATGTTCCCTGTGAGCGTATGGGCTGAGTCAGCAATATAATAAAGGTGGTATATGAGTGTTTAATATTGGGGCGTAGAATATGGGGCTACCATATGTTTCCTGTGAGTGGGATGAGTCAGCAATAAAAGAAGGTTGTATATGAGTGTTTAATATTGGGGCGTAGACCATAGGATTACCATAAAATGTTCCCTGTGAGCGTATGGGCTGAGTCAGCAATAAAATAAAGATGGTATATGAGTGTTTAGTTTAATATTGGGGCGTAGACCATGAGATAACCACAAGTTTCTGCCTGCGGACGTAAACACTGAGGCAATATCGGGCGACAACAGTAAAGAGCGGTTGTCTTGCGGTTAAAAATTTCATCCGGTAAAATCACCCACTGGCTCCGAGCGCAATAACTGGACTAATGACGGACTACGACCGGTATCTGAGTATTTGTATATAGGTGAAGTGATTCGCCAGAGACTAGAGGCTTCTGCCTACGCGCGTATGGACTGAACAATGCGAGATTATACCGAGTGACTCAACGTCTACGGTGAAATGATCGGCTTGGTATGTCTAGAGTGAGCTATAAGGACTATACACAGTGTTGGTCGACGGCAGTGGGCCGGTCTGCTTAGATAACAACTACCCGGTTCTGACTGTATAGACCGGGTGTCTCATAATGAAGGCTGTTATATGTGTTGAGATGCTGTTTCGGTGAGGTGTTGTTGAAAACACCTCCAACAGAAAAAACTACGACGAAAAATAAATGGTGTGACAAACTTTGGCGAGCCGCGGCCAGTAGGAATATACTGAGCCTAGAGATACCCCGCGCCTATAAAACATATTATATAAACTTGTATAGATACGTGAAAATAAGCGGAGGTTAGGTCTGCATCACAGTTCGAACGCCGATGCCAATGGTGGTCCTGAATGCCGATGCAAATGGCGGTCCTGCGCAATCAAAGCTGTTGACGTGTAAATTGCATCAATAAAGAATTGGCTTCCTCCATCGTGGACTAGGAGAAGCGTGATTATAGGTATTAAAGATGTTCCATGGCATGTTCACCCGACCTTCGTCTTTGTAAATGTATGCATGTGTACTGACAAGCTCGATCACATCAAGTTGTAGTTGAGCTATTCTTGCGTCCAACACAGTTACGATAGCAACTGATACTCTCCAATATGACAAGTGATAAGACCCCGTATCATCCGATGAAATACAACACGTTCCAATCCCTCAAACACTTCCAGGCTATACACGACGTGGACACAGATTGCGAGCATACTTTGTAGATTACGTGCACCGAAGGATAGATTCAACACAGTGGTGGCCATCCCCCTCTAATTCGTGATCACACTACACACAAGTACAGTATGCTATAGCCGGTGCATAACATACACTCTCAACAAACAATCATCATAAGTAGTACAACCTTTCAAAAAGTAATTTGGCACAAACGCTAAGTCGTCACGGTCTTTGACCTCGGCAAAGGATGCAGAACTGCGTCAAACCCGCCGAATAGATACATAGATTATATTCATACATGCGACTTGTTTACAATAGTTTGTACACTAGACGACAGTGATAAAGAGGGAATAGATACATAGATTATATTAATACATGCGACTTACACTAGACGACAGTGATAAAGAGGGAATAGATACATAGATTATATTCATACATGCGACTTGATTACAATAGTTTGTACACTAGACGACCGTGATAAAGAGGGAATAGATACATAGATTATGTTCATACATGCGACTTACACTAGACGACAGTGATAAAGAGCCGGCTAATAACCTTAAAGATGACAGGTGTCATACAACTAGCCGTGGCTTGGGTGGCTGCAGCGCAGTATTCAACCACGCCCGGCAAGCAAGCAAGGAAAGGTAGTAAGCTACACACAGGGATGAGTGGACTATACTAGTTACTGGAGGCTGCGGTTACCATAGCTACGAATTCATACAATCAATCATGGTGTATATTATAAACCCTCAGTGGCGGACATATACGAGATAGCTGGAAAATGTGAAGGAGGTTATACGCGGGTTGTGGGTGAAAGAACGGATCGGTCGATAAGAGATGGGTACGTGATAAGACTAGATACAATACCTATACGCACAGATGAGGCTGAAAGTCCATACTATGCGGTGTCTTGGGCACTAAGTAGGTAACAATATGGTTCATAAACGAGGGGTGACCCATCCACCAATAGAAACGCGCCACTCCGAGCATGCATTGTACAAGGTGGAAGTCACGCTGTGTCTTCGGTGACTATAGCTAGGATTAACACTGCCGCGACGCAGCTGGGAAACAAGAAAGTGTTGTCATACGCAACAAATGGTCCTTAAAACCGCTTGTTGAAGAAAATTTGATATGTAACCACCGTAGATAGACTAGATATAAGGTCACGTGCCTGGTATTAAAGCAAAAGATTAACACTCCTTATTACAATACGAATTGAACCATCGTAGCATAACATCTTAACGAACACTCGTCTATGTTTAAGACCATTGTCTGATTTTTCGGTGTAAATAGGTTGATACACCGGTGCTTCCGGCAGCCAAAAAATGGGTATGTAAAATAAAAGGTTACGTGTTCGGTAGTATACCCTGGGCTGGCACTCGCTATAGCTAAACGACCCGAAACAACACGATAACATAGATTGAAAATAAAATACCTCTATGTAAACCAGGGGATCTGACCATTGTTTGAGTGTAGGTCGATATACTGGTGCTTCCGGGAGCTCAGGTAGTGTTGTTGACCCCCTCATACTGCACAGAGCGCCCTTGGACACGACCCCTATTTGAGCTTATCGAACAAGCCTATTCCTTTAGATTAATAATAGAAAGATAGGTAGGGCAGCTGGGAATACTAGTTTAACTGATACAGCTAAGGTATGCGGATGAGATCATGAGCGCATCACGCTAGAGTGATACATACCAATCATCCCCATGCATTCATCTACTAACTAATTTGTAAGAGGAAATTCTGCGAAGTTCTTTTTTTACAAAATGACGGCTCTCACTGGGAGTGAGGGCCTGAGCCCTGAGGGGGTCTTCACAAGCCTTGAGCCTTGGCCAATTTAGATTTTGTTTTTTGTTTTTTTGCTTTTGTGTATGAATCATATAAAAAAATATAAAAAAGTATATGAAAATTTTGGGTGGAAATATCAAGACGTAATTAGGGTCTACTACTAGGGTTTCGGTATGAAAGGTTCTTTAGCAACTATTAAAGAGGACATTCGAAAACACGTTGTATTTTCACTATTAAATACAATACAATCCTGTGATAAAAGCAAGGATCCTCGACGTATGCATCGCAGTAGTATTAGCAAGTTGGATTTAAATAGGTACCACCATTCTTTCCTACATATAGGATCTAACCAAAATGGTAAATTCGTTTTTGTGAACATATTTTAGTAATACTTGCATAGCTTGTTTGTCTGACTGATAGTATACGCATATTAATCACCTATATTGCGCCAGACTTACATTGTACTGTGTTGCGGTGGGTTACGATTTTTCATTTTTACGCTTGTGCGTCAGCCGATCGCAAGGTTCCAGCGTGTGGGAATTTTTTATGTAGTCGTGTATTAAGTTATTGCGCCTTTGCTCAGCTATATATCAGCACGTGGTTTCAGTGTGCGCGATTTACATTTCCGAGTGAAGTGTAAGTTGCTGGGAAGTTTACAAAATGATTTCAGTATTCAATTTTTGCTTGCCTTAGACTTCAGATAAATAGTCATATAC